GGGATTGAAGCTGTGTCGTTAAGAGTAAATCTAAGGGACAAAACGTGCGACTGTGGGTTTTTTCAAGCTCTGAAGTATCCATGCTCTCATGTGACAGCAGCTTACTCGCATACACGTCAAGACTATAACCATTTTGTGGATCCCGTATACCTACTATATGAAGTTTTTAAGGTATACGAATTTGAGTTTCCCCCAATAGGTAATGACAAAGACCCTGATGAGGTTCAAGATTGGCTTCCGATTGTACCAAATCTGAGTTTATTGAGGGAGCGTGGTCATCCAAAATCCAATCGAATTCATTGCGATATGGGTATTCGAGAAAGATCTAGACAAGACAGAAGATGTGGCCATTGTAGAAACCCAGGACACACTAGAAAAACATGTCCAACTTCTGTTGTCATCAAGTAACAATTGATGAGGAAATGATGTATTTGTTTATCAAATAATAATTTTTGTATTTTAATTTGCATTTACTTCAAGTTAATGCCATTCGATAATCGCTGATGAAGATTAAAAAACGAACACAATCATTAAATTTTATCAAACTAATAACAATTTGGTATCTAAATACAACAAACTTACAATAAGAATTAAATGGTAAAAGATAACCAAATTACAATAACTGATATTAAATAGTAATAAACAAAATTAACTGAAATATATTAAAAAAAAGTCCAACAAATTTAACAAAATAAAGTAAGTATTAAATGAGAAATAATAAAAAATTACAATTAAACAAAATAAAGTAAATACAAATATAATAAAAAAAATCTATCGATGACTGCATCGCGAATGTATTCTGCAGGGTGGTGGCTGTCGATCTCGAGGAGGATTTCTTTGTATCACTGGTTCTGACTCCTCGCTGTCGTCGTCGTCATCGTCGTCGTCGTCGTCCTGAGCAGGTACATTAGGTTGATGAGGAGCTGATAACGATGAAGCACCTCCATAGAATAAGGACCCTGGAGGTGTAAGACTGGCTATCCCACCGACCTGCGAAAACTGGGAAAACCCAGACATTGCTGAGTGTAAAAACTGTACAGGAGGTGTCTATGCTACGACCATGGGTGATGAGGCTGAACCTGCCAAATATCTAGCATATGAACCCCAAGTCGGATCTACAAACATAGACCTATAAAAGTCTCCAGGAGGGGTCATTTATGACGGTGGCGGTGACGGGGGGGTCGGGGTCATAAAACCAGGTGAAGGCGGCGGCGGCGACATCTGGTATTGGAAAGGCGATGGTGGCATCATATATGGCTGCGGTGGCTGCTGGTGCAGCTGAGGATGAACCGGAAGCACATGCTCTCCGTCCACGAGTCGGGGAATGATGGTGTTGTATCGGTGAACGTCTCTGTCGACGTCGTGGAAAGGTCTTCCCTCGTGCATCCTCGGGAAGTAGAAACAGTTTCCCGTTACTGTTAAACCACTCATAATAATCCTCAGCATACATCAAGAAGTCAGTAAAAATGGGCTCTCTACGTGGAAGTCGTCGATGTCGATCCTCCCACAACACGACCCACTAATGATGCCTCACCAATAAATCTGTATCTGTCTTGCCGAGTCTATCTAAGCTATGCAACTCGTCCATATTGCGAGGTGCTTCCAGAATTGGTTGAAAATAACCAAACTGTCAGAGCACGCGATCAGTGGAGTGCCACTTGACGGTCGCATAACAGATCAGAGGGACCATCGCCATCCAAACATCTGATGGACCCCTCAACTCAGGTGGGATCACCGCCCTCACATCATCAGTAGAATATGGCACCCATTCAAACTAAAACAAATAATATAATTTTTATCAAAATAATAATCTAATTATATAACTATAATCTAAAATCGATTTTTAAACATTAAAATTCATACCTATGTACCAGCCTTCTGATCGATTAGCACCCTAACTTTTTCTAAATCATCAGGTAGCTCCTGATGATTTTTCCTATCAATAGACCACCTATTCAAGGAAAAAATTTGTTATACGTTGTATAAAATTATTAATATACAAAATCAGTTTTATAATTACCTCAGAAGTAGTGGAAATACGAATGGGTTCTTCACAACGGAACATAAAAAGGGCAATCGATACCATGCCCAATACTGTAGCAGCAGAAGACATCCGTCGATAGCATTACGCCGTAATCAGTGGCTCCACACATCTCCATGTACAACAAAGCCAAAACTGCCGAGCCCCAACTGAATGATCTGGCGAGACGAAAGTCGCTAAGATGTCGCAACCACATGCAGTGAACTAGGTTACGCGATTTGTCCGGCATCAGCAACCCTCCTATCAGCTACAGTATGCATGCCCGTGCATACATCTTAACCTCATCCTCAGAGGCGTCTGCGCTCAACTCCCGAAAATTGGCATCTAACCAATTTAACGGTATCCTACCTCCGATAAAATTTTCTGGGACACGTCCTAGACTATCCCGACACAAAGTAGTCCAAGAACCAGAAGCTATCCCCGATATCAGTGCATAGAAACATCCTCAAGCATGATCGTGCACTCTCCGCACGGAAGATGGAATGTGTGGGTATCCGGCCTCCACCGCTCTACTAAGGCAGAAATCAGGTCTGGCTCTATCTTACAGTGACCCTGATATCTACCTATGTAACCGAATCCAGCCTCTACTAAATACGACAAGACACGGGTGGGTATCACTAACTTAAGATTCTTAATAAAATGATCTAATACACGGCCCTTCTCCTAAAAATAAATAATTACAAAAATTAATTCTTAATCTAATAATCATGCATTAAATAAATCAACTAATTATTACTAATAATTTAATTAAATTAAAACGTTAAAATGTTACCGTATCAGCAAAGTGTCGAGATATTTAATTCTTAATCTAATAATGCATTAAATAAATCACTAATTATTACTAATAATTTAAATTAAATTAAAACGTTAAAATGTTACCGTATCAGCAAAGTGTAGAGATATATGATTTCCATCTGAGCGAAGTAGACTGCCTTCCATTATATATCTGTAAAAGAATTATATTAGTAAAATATTAAATAAAGTAAAATACTTAAATAAATTAAATACATAATAGTAAAATATTATAAAATATACCTTAAAAAGAGAGAGTATTTGAGAGAAATTTAGAGAATTTGAGAGAATTTGATATGATAAAAGTGATTGAGGATGAGAGTATTTATAGGGAGGATTGGGATGTGGAGGGGTGGGTATTTAGGGGTATAGCGCGCGCCTTGCACCGCGCTATACCCCACGTGTCAGATACCCAGGTATAGCGTGGATCAGGGGACGCGCTATACCTACGTGGCGCCAAATTACCGTATATCGCGGGGCAGGGGGCGCGTTATACTCACGTGACGCCAAATCAGCGTATAGCGCGGTTCAAGGGGCGCGCTTTACTGCTACGGGTGTTAGATCGAGAAATATAATCTGACCGGTGTTAGATCGGTAAATATATCGATCACCAGTGATTTATTGGAAAAAACGTCTAAATTTACCACTCAAGCCCCCAATCAAATAATAATTGTTCTCTACAAATAAAAAAATATCAAAATTAGTGGTTGCAAATACGATGTAAATATAATATAATTTTTTTGACAAATACAATTAAAAATTAAAAGCTTTGTTACGAAATATAACTATACATAAAATTTAGATACAAATAAAACACAAACATGTAATAATACGAACATATACAAAAATTATAAGAGTAGGATACAATTATATTATGTAAAATTTATCAAGTTTATATAAAAAATAATTATTAAATAAATTTAACTAAATAGTTAAAATTAATTTGTTTACATTAGCATTACTCCTTTTCTTTTCTTTTCTTTCTAATTTCTAGGAAAAATGAACAATTAACTTCTAAAGTTTTGAAACAAAGTGTGTGCGAAAGTTAAAGAACACACACACATATATATATATATATATATATATATATATATATATATATATATATATTATATATATATATATATATTGCATGCACGTGATGAAGCACGTCTATGTCATTACTCATTACCAGGATTATATGTAGGGATGGCAATGGGTCGGGTCGGGTCGGTTTTTGGGCCACCCGACCCGACCCCCGAGAAGAAAGGGGTTTTCACCCGTGACCCGACCCGACCCGATGAATTAAGTTTCACCGACCGACCGACCCGAATATATGACTTAGAAACCCGACCCGACCCGACCCGACCCGAAATAATAATAAAAAAAATTTTATTCAATGAAAACAGTGACTTAATTGAAAAAAATTATATGGAGGGACATTATTGTAATTATCCCTAAATATATAGGATAAAATTATATATTTTTTCGGGTCGGGTCGGGTCGGATTTTTTTCACCCTAAACCCGACCCGACCCGACCCGAACAGTACATTTTAAAAAAACCCGACCCAAACCCGAATTTTTTTAAAAAAAATCCGACCCGATCGAATCGGATCGGATCGAAACCCGTCGGATTCGGGTTGAGTTGCCATCCCTAATTATATGTGTGGGTGGGTGTGTATATATATATATATATATATATATATATATATATATCGTGAATTTTAAGAGCTTCACTGCCCAGCTTGAGTACAATTAGGGGCCGCCCAAACACATGCAAAAATTTTCATCTTTTTCCAGCTGACAACTTGGGATTTTCACAAAATTCACATTTTTATAAATCATTAGTTCGTTTTTTAAATTTTGTTAAGATTATTAGTTGCTAAGTTATATACTTTAAAGTTGTTTACAAATTAAACCAATTAATTTGTGCCCGAGTCAATTGGCTTGTTGCCGGTTTACATTGTTGAATGTCTGTAAATCGATTTAGCTTAAACTATTTATGTTATATTATCATTTTGTTTTGGAAAAAATCAAAGTAAATATATATTTCATTTAAATTTATGTTTAAGATGTAGTTGGACATCGACGATTAGTTAATAGTCGCCCACTATATAATTTATTAATTTTATCTTAAGTGAGATATCCATTATTCATCGATCTTGTTAGATTTATAAAATATAAAGTATATTTCTTTAAACAAATATCAAAACCGGTTGGACCGACAAAGTTATGAACCCTGAAATCCACCGTATTTTGAAGATCCATAACAGCCCAAAGATCCTAACGAGGTTCGAAGAATACAGAGAGCTCGTCAAAGCGAAAGCCGCGAGAAACGGTGCGATGGGGAGAAGAGACGAGAGGTGCATAGCTGATGGGAACGAGCTGTTGAGATTTAACTGCTCGACCTTCACGTGTGATTTGGGACTTAACGGGAGCACAAGCATTTGTAATCAACAATACTGCAGCGTTTGCGGGATAATTAAGTCTGGTTTTTCGCCCAAAATGGATGGAATCTCCACGCTATCCACGAGCTGGAGAGCGCAAATGGCAATCCCCGAGGATGTCGAGGAAGAGTTCAAGTTCATGAACGTGAAACGATCCATGCTTGTCTGTCGGGTCGTGGCGGGTCGGGTTGGATCAGAAGGTAAAGAAATAAACAAGGAAGATGGTGGATTTGATTCGGTGATCGGAAGCGGAGGAGGGTCGGGGAGTGGCGCATATACCAAGCTGGATGAGGACGAGCTGTTGGTCTTCAATCCAAGGGCAGTGCTTCCTTGCTTTATCATTGTGTACACCGTTTAAGTGTGAGATCGTATGTAGGTGACCTCTTTCTGCAACTTTTTTTTATCTTCATTTTTTATATAGTTTTTAATTGTATTTAATTACTCGGGGACAGGGATAGCGAAAGTTTTGTGAGATATGGTAATGTTTGTTGGCAATGATGATGGTCAATTTATGGTGTTTTTTACAGGTTTTTTAACCTTTGTGTCTGTGAGGCTGTGACCCAAAAATAAAAGGGGTTTACAGTCAAAATTAACCATATGATCATGGAGATTGCTGTGGTAAATCTGGATTTAACTTCGTGTATCTTAGACTGTGATGTAAATCTTGTGTTTGAATAAGATATTAGTATTTTTTTCCCTTTTTATTTACGATTTAAGAAATTCCCCAGAATAAAGTAAATTTGTCATGTTCCAATTCTTGATCTATGAAGTAAAACAATTATTATTTCACCTATTTGGACAAAATTTTAAATCCAAATTTTATTATTAACGTTACGGCTGTAAACGAGTTGAGTCGAGTTCAAGTATTGCTGAGTTTGACTCGATTTGAAAACTCTAAAAGGGAATTCGACTCGATTTGAAATTTTGCGAGCTTAAAATTTCGAAGTTCGACTCGAATTCGTAACTATGAATTGAAGCTCGTAAAAGTTCAAAAAAAAAAATTTAAACTTAACTCGAGTGGAGCTTAAAACTAAAACTCGAACATGAACCTTAAATACATGAAAAACTTATATTGTATTTAAAAAAATCAACACAAATGTTAATATTATTAATAATTTACTTTTTTAAAATAAAATTTTAATATATTATATTTTCGAGTTGCTCACGAGCTTTTCTAGTTGAGTATCAAGTAACTCGTTTGGTCTCGTTAAAAACTCGAGTCGAAACCAAGTTCGAGTAGAGTCAAGTATTTATCGAGCTTTAACCGAATCGACCTCGAATAATTCACAATCTATCACGTCTCATTTACGACCCTAATTAACACATTTTGAGTTAAATATTTAGAAGTTCATCTAAAAGTTTATTTTAGCCACTCTACCATAAAAAGAAATACTTTAGTCTCTATATTATACTTAAAAAGTTTGTTTAAACTCTTCTACCATCCAAAGATGTTTTAGCCTCAATACTTTTGAAATGTGAATTTTTTTTATCCAAATTTTTGAAGTTTTAATTAGTGGTTTAAATATTTTTGTTCAAACGTCATTTAAGTCTCCATCAATTTTAAAATTGAGTTAATTATTTTTTTTTTTTTTTTAAAAAGAATAATTTATTTAATGAGCATTTTAAAGGTGAATAATAAGAATCATCTATTATGATGTTGATATTTTTCCGTCAGCACCTTTCTAACTACGATTGCATAATTTTTTTGATAAAATGGAAATAAAACAATTATACTATTTTATAATATCTTTTTCATTATTTTTAGAGAACTTAATAAAAAATATTTTTTATGATTTTTATATTATTTTTTTCAATTAATCTACTCTCACCCAAATCTAAAAATTCTTTAAAAACTCGCTGTATATTTTTCCTTGTGATTTAATATTTAGATTTCTTAGATGTTAAAAAAATTATGTTAAAAACTCACAAAATTCTTTTGAGAGGTTATTTTGTTAGAGTTCAAATTTGACATGGACATAAAAAGTGTTTAAATCAAAAATATTTAAGCAAACTAATAATAACTTTAATGTTTTAATTAAAATGTTTACTTTTCAAAACTAAAAAAATTTAAAAATATATTTTTTATAATACTGGAACTAAAATTTTATTTTTATAATAAAATGATTAAAACAAACTTTTAGATACAATACATGAACTTTTAGTAGACTTTACTCCATTGATATAATTTAAAATAGTGGATTAATACCCAAAACAAAATGTAGATGATAATTGAAAAGTAATTTTTATTTAAAACCGTGTACTTTTTATTTATTTTTTCAATTGTCACGTAAAATATCTTTTGGTTGATTTAATTAAAATATTAAGCAAACTATATAACTTAATGTTTTAATTAAAATGTTTACTTTTCAAAACTAAAAATTAAAAATATATTTTTATAATACTGGAACTAAAATTTATTTTTATAATAAAATGATTAAACAAACTTTAGATACAATACATGAACTTTTAGTAGACTTTACTCCATTGATATAATTTAAAATAGTGGATTAATACCCAAAACAAAATGTAGATGATAATTTAAAAGTAATTTTTATTTAAAACCGTGTACTTTTTATTTATTTTTCAATTGTCAAGTAAAATATATTTTGGTTGATTTAATTAATATCCAAATCTTGGATATTAGAAAATTCAAAAGTTTCAATTTGGAATGCTCCCATAAGTACACTGAAGTTTAGGCCTTTGAGGCAATTAGCTAACTAATTATTGGGCTTGGAGAATCCGAGACCCGACCCACCTAATACTTATATAGGTTCATATCGCATGCATTGAAATTGAGTAGATGTCAAACATTTTGATCTTGAAATTTGTACGTAACAATTATTAAACGGTTGAACAAGCAGACATTTATAGTCTAAACCAAGTCCTTCTAACATAGGCAAGGGATTTCAAAAATCCTAAGTTGTTATAGTAACCAAGCAGCACAACATGTTGTTACCGCCAGAATTGAGAGAAAGAAACCATCTCAATCAAGTCAATATCTCTCCTTCTGACCGAAGAACATTGGTCAGACACCGACGGGTCCATGATCATGCTGGTGTCGCCGGAGAATGACGCAGTGGGTGCTCCATTCAACAAGCGAGACAAATAGAGGTCCGAACACAGATGGGTGGTTCGAGTCTTTTTTTCTTCAAGGCCAGTCGAGAACAAGTTTGGGTCCATAATGGAAGATGAGAAGCCACCATCATCAGCTGGATTAGACCACTGCTGATGACCACCAGTTAGGCAGTCAATGGTTGAAGAACCTTTGCTGGGGTCCTCAACAATGATTGGTTTATCATCGACAGATGGTTGAATATTTATGTTGTAATCAGTTGAAAAGAAGTTTTGCATGAACTGGAGTTCTTCATCGTACGTTTGAGCAACAAAAGGCTGACAATCATCAGATTCGGTTGGTACTTGAGGGAGAAAATATTTGAACCCGCTGGACAAGTCCTCAGAGAATGTGATGGTTGAAGGAGTGGTGCAGCTGTTGGTTTGGCTGGCGGAGCGGCTGTTGGTATTGAGATTTTGGCTCCGGATGTAGTCTTGAAGAATAGATGATTGAGGTTTGCTATTTTGTTTGATTTTCTTCCTCGAGTTTTACCTTCTTTTTGTAGCGTTCCAGTGATTTTTTATGGCGTTCTCAGTTCTTCCATGGATGTATTTTGCGATCTCCGCCCACCGGTTTCCAATCTTGCATGAGCATCAACTAATATTCTTTCTTCTTCTTCACTCCATATATCTTTCTGAAACCAAGACACCATGCAGAAAATTGCATTTCCAAAGGAATTATATATATAAAACAATATAAGTAATGAAAAAGTTTTCTCAAAGAAATTGAAACGCCAAACATGAACAAAGGAAGATATCCATGTCCTGAGTAGGCGTATATTTTCAGGCAAAACCAGTTAAGGCAACGTCCTAGAAATTTGTTGTTAGCCAACCAAAATACTACTAATCATCAAAACAGAAAACATGTAAAGTAATCAGGAACCAGTTTGATCATTCGATTTAGCATATATATATAAATATATGTGTGTGTGTGTGTACTTTTTATATATGCACGCACAAATTGAAAATGAAGGAGGAACCTTGATATCAGGGCGCAAATGATTATGCCACCTCTCTCGACACTGTGTTCCGGCTCTACCGACCAAACCCTCAGCTATCTGTGCCCATTTCCTCATTCCATATTGCTTCACCAATCTTATCAGTTTCCTATATGATTCATATATCAACCCAAAATAAAAACCTAGAATATTTTTGCATCATAAATTTGTACCGGCTAAAGAAGAAAACAAATTAAAACAATAAAGAAGAAACCAAAACAAGACACAAATCTGTGAAGGAAAAGAAGGGAAAAAAATGAAGAAACTGTTTTATATATCACCTGTCCACTGACCCTTAATCAAAGCCGAGAAGCAATTTTCTCGTTTTTTCCCCCTACACCTTTAGGGAAACTCTTCGTTGAAACTTTCACAGCTTCATTCATTTCCATTTTAGGGTTTCTACCTTCTGCCGAAGCATGGCTGTTCCCATCAACAAGAAGCCCATCGATGAAGCGTTCTTCCAAGTTACGTCCCAATGAAGCCCCAGCAAGATAACCGCCGATTGCATCATTAGAGAATGATAAACCACGAAGCAATCCATCTGTAGCAGAACCGAGTCCGAGTGGTGTTCCTTTGCTGATGCTAATGTTGTTTTGCGACCCGTGCAAACAAATAGTAATTCTGGGTTAACAATCAATGCCATTGTAAAAATGGAAGGTCTCGTTTTGCTAATTTCATTAATGAAATTTTAAAATTTTGAATGATAATGATTAATGGATGATATAATTTGTATGTCTGATTTTAGTGTGTTTTTAGGTTTGAATGAAAATTAAATTGAATGTTCAATTATGTATAGAGATGATATTTTAGATATTTGAATTAGATTTAAGTAGAATTAACTTAGATTTGGTCTATTTAAATTTAAATTGTATTTGATTTGGGTACGATATGGATTATATTAGATGTACTTCAGATTTAATTTAAGTATATGATAAGTCAAGTTGAATCAAACGTCGAATTAAATTATTATTAATTATATGGTAAGTCAAGTTGAATCAAATATTGAATCAGATTTATATCGAATTGATATGTTTTTGACTATTTTTTATTTATAAATGTCATTTATTTATTAGGTGTGAGCATTCGATCGAGTAAAAAAAATTAAGTTATTCGAGTTGACGAGTCGTATTTTACCACTTGAACTTAACTTAAAAAAATTGTAGTTAAATTATTCGAGTTTCTATGTTAATTTTATTATAATTTTATATTTATTCTAATTTTTCAACTTTCTCTAACCATATAAGATATATATATTTCATATTCTTTTCACATTATAATGTTATTTAATATATCAAATACAATAAAAAATTATAAAATATATTCACAATATTATATTTTTCTTTATTTTGAGGGTAAAATATTAATGAGAGTATAAAAGAGTCAATAAATTGATAGGAAAGAAAGAATTTGCAAACAATTACGGTCAAAAGACTAAATTGAGTAAAATGCATTGTTAAGGGTCTAAATAAAAAGAGTATATTTTTAGTAAAAAAATAAGAATCAAAGTTATATAGACATTATATAGTGGTATATGAGCATGTGGTTCAAATTCGGTAAAATCATACTTAAAATAAATATTGAATTGAAGAAATAAGGAAATTATGAAAATTAAAGGACTAAATGGAAAAATAGAAAACTTGTTATCTAAAAGAGGAATTGGAAATACATATGTATTCTAAGATGGTTTAGGAGCATATGGTTCAATTTTGATTAAAAATAGACTTAAAATGAAGGAGGAATTGAAGGAATAATGAAACTATGGACTAAATCGTAGAACTATCAAAATACATCGTCAAATTTTTTGTTTTTCAAGTAACTCAAAATTTCCAAATTTCAACTCGACTCAAACTTGAAATTCGAATTTATAATTCGATTTGATTCGATTAATTCAAAATTTAAAATAATCAATTTTTCGAGTCGAGTCAAATTTTGCTCACCCTTATTATTTCTTTTTTTCAACCCAAACAAGAACTAGTTATGCGAGCTTTTGCCTCCTTGTCTTTGACTCGTTTGATGAATTAATTTTTCTGGCTAAAAGTACACAAATGGTCCCTCGATTATATGATACTATCTTATTACATCCCTTAACTATTAGAAATTACAAAATGATCTCCCGATTATAAAATATTACTTTGTTGAGTCCCTCGACTATTAAAAGTTAAAAAATGGTCACTTGACCATTCATTATGTTCCAAACTCGTCATTTTCCATTAAAAGATTGCCGATCATTTGAACTGGACGCTAACATGATGATCAAAATGTTGACGTTAGCATGTTAACGTCAAGCTCAAAACGACCCATACTGTCAATAACGACCACGACCACCCTGTGTTTCTACATCTCAAGCGATGCACCAATTCAAGCCAGCTTAAGCAAATCCATGGCCACATGCTCCGAACTGGACTTCTCTTTGACCCATACTCCGCTAGCAGCCTCTTTGCAGTTTCCGCTTTGTCGCCTTCTTCGAGCTTGGATTATGCTCGTAAAGTGTTCGATCAAATTCCCAAACCGAATCTTTACACATGGAATACCCTCATTCGGATTTATGCTTCAAGCCCTGAACCTCTACTAGGAATTTTGATCTTTCTAAGGATGGTTCATGAGAGTCCTTATTACCCCAATAAATTCACTTTTCCCTTTGTGATCAAGGCTGCTGCTGAGATTTTTAGTTTATGTGTTGGGCAGGCTCTTCATGGGATGGTGATTAAGGCCTCTCTAGGGGCGGATGTTTATATTTCCAATTCGTTGATACATTTGTATATGTCGTGTGGAGATTTGGATTCACCTTATAGGGTGTTCATGATGGTTGGTGAAAAAGATGTTGTGTCTTGGAATTCGATGATCACTGGTTTGGCACAAAGGGGTGTTGTGCTGAAAAGGCGTTGCAGATGTTTCAAGAAATGGAAGAAAAAAATGTGAAGCCAAATGATGTGACAATGGTGGGTGTTTTATCAGTTTGCACAAAGAAGCTGGACTTGGAGTTTGGGAGATGGGTGCATTCGTATATTCAAAGGAACGGGATAAGTTTGAAGTTGACTTTGAATAATGCAATGCTAGATATGTATACTAAATGCGGAAGTCTTGAAGATGCAAAAACGTTGTTTGATACGATGGTGGAGAAGGATATTGTCACGTGGACTACTATGCTTGCTGGTTATGCTAAATTGGGAGCATATGAGGAAGCAAGACAGATCCTTGATACTATGCCTAGGCAAGATATTGCTGCATGGAATGCCCTTATATCTGGTTATGAACAGAATGGAAAGTCAAAGGAGGCTTTGTCCATATATCATGAATTGCAACAGAGCAAAATTGCTAAACCTGATGAGATCACTCTTGTTAGCACTCTATCAGCTTGTGCTCAATTAGGAGCATTGGAAGTTGGTGACTGTATCTATGCATATATCAAAGAGCTGGGAATTAAGCTAAATTGTCATCTTACAACCTCATTGATATGTATTCCAAATGTGGAGATATAAAGAAGGCCCTTGAGATATTTTATTCTGTGGAGAAGACGGATGTATTTGTTTGGAGTGCCATGATTGCAGGTTTGGCGATGCATGGACAAGGGAAAGCTGCGATAGATTTGTTCTCTAGGATGCAAGCAAATATGATCAGGCCAAATTCTGTGACCTTTACTAACGTATTATGTGCTTGTAGCCATGCAGGGCTGGTAAAGGAGGGCAAAAACCTGTTTTGATATGATGGAGCCAGTTTATGGTATTGTACCTGAGCTCCAGCACTATTCTTGCATGGTTGATATACTAGGTCGTGCAGGCCTTTTGGAAGAAGCTGTTGAATTCATTGAGAAAATGCCAATACCTCCTAGTGATTCTGTATGGGGAGCTCTGCTTGGGGCTTGTCAAATTCATGGAAATGTTGAGCTTGCTGAACGGGCTTGTAGCCATTTGCTTGACTTGGATCCTCAAAATAATGGAGCGTATGTTCTCTTATCTAATGTATATGCCAAAACTGGGGAATGGGATGGTGTTTCGAGATTAAGGAAGCACATGAGAGTGACTGGATTAAAGAAAGAACAAGGTTGTAGCAGAATTGAGGTCAAAAAAGTCAGTCATGAATTTCTGGCAGGAGATAACTGTCATCCTCTTTCCAAGGAGATATACTCAAAATTGGATGAGATTGTGGTGAGATTAAAATCAACTGGCTATGTTCCCAACAAGTCTCACCAACTGCAACTTATAGAAGAGGATGACATGCAAGAGCGCGCTCTTATTCTTCGCAGTGAGAAGTTAGCAATTGTCTTTGGATTACTTTACGTGGAAGCATCTCAGCCTATCCGGATTATAAAAAATCTTCGTATTTGTGGGGACTGCCACTCGGTTGCTAAGCTTATATCAAGACTTTATGATAGAGAGATAATACTGAGAGATCGGTATCGATTCCACCATTTTAGCGAAGGACATTGTTCTTGTAAGGATTATTGGTGAATGCTTTATAACATCCAAGAGAGATTACTCAAAATATATAACTCATGAAACTCTTGTAAGTGCCGAGTAATGGCTGCCATAGATCCCCAAGAATTTCAACCTTAGAATTTACGTGGTGGCAATGTACTTACTGCTAAGTGGGCATATTTTGTACTAAGACTTGATCATCCATCCGTTCTGTTCATCTTTAAATGGTAACTATTTTGTATCAACCATCTTATCTTTTGCTTTTGCTTTATTCTCTCCGAGGAAGATTCTACTTTGATATACTCAATAACCGCTATTCTGGGTCAGTTTCGTATCAACGATATTCACGTTCCACTTTTGGACGTCTTGGAGATACATATCAGTCAGGCTGGTTGCTTCATCTCATTTTTTTCCAAAGTAGCTTTTCTTTTCAATATTTAGTTTAATTATCGATAGTTAGGGATGGCAAAAAATCCGAACCCGACGGGGAAAACCGAAAACCGAATTAAACGAGGACGGGGGAAAACCATTTATGCTAAACGGGGACAGGTTTGGTAATCCCCACCCCGATTATCCGCTCCGATACCCGCCCCGATAAATATTAAAAATAATTATTTTATATATATATAATATTAATAAATTTAAATTAAATTAAAAAATATATATAATATTTATATATTTAATTTAAATATATATATATCCGGCCCGATACCCGTTTAAATAACCGTTTATGCTAAACGGGGATATTCGTTTCCCGGCGGTTTTCCCCGATTACCCGATGGAGATCCCCATTAATCCCCGCAGTTTTTTTAGCGGGGACGGGGACGGAGGACCAATACCCGGGCCGTTGCCATCCTATCGATAGGGAATGTACATAAATTGCACAATTCGTTTACTTCTGCCTTTAAAGGTCACGCTTCCTTGTTTCTTATAATTGAAAGCAAACAATGCTTGATTCAGTTTATCACTTGTTTTCCGCTTAGGCAAGTTCTCATTTAAAACTAAGAAATTTCCTTTTTAATTATGTTTATACCCACTGGTTAGCTAGTATTGATTTTTGATTTCTCTGCAACTTAAAGCCATCAAAAGCCGCTCATGTAATAGTTTAGTCGCAAAATGATGCTCATTCTTGATGCGCAATGACGTATATCAGCAAGCATCCACAAAGCCACAAACCATGTTGCACAAGTATGAAAGGTAAAAACGTGAACAAGCAGCCATAAAGAATACAAGTTAAAACCGCTCTTGAATATCATCAAACTGAATCATTAGTTAAACAAGAACTCATCTCAAAATAATAACTATTGAGTATCAGCCAATTTAAACATTTATGTTGAAAACAGATATTAGAACCAAAGCTTAGAGACAAATCCAGGCCAAAAAATTGACCACAACTCTCTAAAACGAGATGCATAGGCCAGGTAAAAGGTTACAGACATCTCAGCATATAATTTTTTTTCTCTCTGGCATGATCTTCATGATAAGATCTCTCACCTTGCCGATGGGAGGATGAATTCCTGTTATAGCTTGACCATTCCTCATCGCCTCTCTTATCATGATCTTCTCTTGGATAAGATTCTGATTCGTTCCTCGAGAATCTTTTTTCTCCTCTCTTGTCATGATCTCCATTGGGTCGTGGCTCAAACTCATCATCACCATGCCTTTTTGATCTACTTCCATCCCTCCTATCTTCTTTTATCCTAGCCTCATATTCACCATCATCACCATGCCTTTCTGATATACTTCCATCCCTCCTATCTTCTTTTACCCCAGCCTCGTATTCACCATCATCTCCATGCCTTCTTGAACTCTTTTCATCCTTCCTATGACGGTCTTCTACAGACCTTGGCTGATGGTCGCCATCATTGTGCCTTCTAGATCTTTTATCTTCCCTTTTGTACCGATCATCATCATTATGCCGCCTTGATCTCCTATCTTCACTACCGTTATAATCTTCTCTTGACGTTGGCCCCACATATTTCCCATCATACCTTCTAGATCTCTTCCCTTCTCTCCCATCAATTTTCTCTGAGGCCTTCTCATCACCCCTCGCTGACCGAAAACCTTCTTGAATTGCACGCTCTTGCACGCCATAACTTTTTTCACTCTTTTTTGAACCCTCAAATTTGTCATTTCCCCATCTCGAACTTTTATCCTGATGACCCCAACCAGTGTTTGCAGCTCTCTAGGCACAAAACAGAAAAATATATAAATAGCAGAAACATAAAAGAATGGTCATAAGCAAAAAGCTCATGATATAGCAATACATTTGATACATGATATGTATTGAATACCAGCCCTTGCAAGATGGAAAGAGGTAGTGAAATATGAAAAATAAGAGAGGAAAAACATTTTCTGTTTTTCAAAAATAGAACTACAAAATTAACAGAGCATTGCACAATGAATTTATGTTGCTAGGACTCTTCATTGTTCTTTAAGTATCTCTGTCCAACACATGGATATGGAGATATGACCTTCAAGGGTTCTCCAAACACAGGAGGAAACTTTGAAAAATCAAATCATACCCATGTCAGATACAAACACAATATACTCACAAGTCACACCCGAGCCCCAAGTATCATAGCAATTAATTAGACAAAAGCATTATTGCGTTTGGGCATATGGTAGCAAATTCTAGTAGCATATCATCATGCAAATGTTACGATTTATGATCTATATGCTGAGATCCATAGAACAAAAAGAACAAAACTTATACTTCCTTCAACTCAAAATAAAAATAGCAAATAGTTCATACATTTCAAACTATGGCATAGCTTGGTCCATCCGTTTATTATAACATTTACAAAATATTGAACAAGCAAACCAAGGCAAAAAGGTAAGTGGAATTTACTATCTAACATAAGCCACGTGTGCTATAAATTCATCTGGGCCTAGAACAATAACTTAAAAATGATTGTTCATGATTATTGCGATATAGCCATCCAAATTAGTTACATGTATCAAAAAGCAATGCTAAGTGGAAATGAATCTTACTTGTTCGTCATGGGAAAATTTACATCCTGCACCGCGCGTACATTCTCCTCTCTGGAATGCATAACAAACCCCTCGGGCTTCCCTCTTTTTTTGTTCTTCCTCTTCATCTTCTTCTTCTTTCTTCTTATACTTCTCGGCATGATCAACCCTTATAATTCGACCCAAAGTCTGTGCCCCATTAAGGTTATCTTCAATGCCAAAAAAAACCCTTAATTACATCATTTCCTCATTATTTATAATATGCATCAGATTCGAACAGTTAAAGAGAGATAAATCCTAACCTACAGCAAGAATTGTACTTCTCTGATCTTCATAAGCAAGAAACGCAAATCCTTTCGATTTCCCAGTCCCCTTATCTCTAACAAGATTGACGTCTACAACTTCTCCATATCTGAGAAAAATAAATATATATTCAAGCCAAAGATGTGCAGAATTCCAAAGTGAGAAAAAACGAAAGGAAACATGAGAAAGAAAACGTACTGGGCAAAAACAGCGAGGAGATCACCTTCGGTGAGGTCATAGGGAAGACCACCGACAAAGATGTATGCGGAATCTTTGTACTTGGCGTGCCATGATGCTTCCTCCGATATTCCTAAATCTGCTTCCTTTGCCGTAATGTTCTGTAATCGCTTCACTAAAGTTAACGGGTTCATGGTATCCCCTTTTCTACCGAAATCCCTAATCTCGATTCCGAAATTTTAGCGGAAAATTCGGGGTTTCGGCTGTCACCTCGTTTCCTAAATGGAGTTGATTCCGACAGTGGAAAAAGACGACACGAGGGGAAAAAAGAGTATTGGGCCTAATAAATCATTTTGAGTCGGAGCGGTCCAACATCTTAGCCCATTAACTACTACTAATTTATTTTATTTTATTCGAATATGATAAAATTTAATACTTTTTATTTAAAAAATCATATTAATAGATTGAAATGCATTTTATTTTAAAATAAAACAATATTATCTGTAGGCTAAACTCACGATATAATGCACTCAAAATAAATAATTCACGATCTAATGCACTCCTTATATTATTTGTTAAAATAGGGCGAAATCAACAGTGTGGCCGTAGGTCGCCATGCCTTCCGGGCGACCTACTAGGTCGCCATGTCTTCCCAGTCCGAGGCCATCCGACCGAGGCCATCCGAGAGCATCCGAGGCCATCCGAACTAGCTATGCGAGGGCATCCGAGGACAACCGAGCGAGCTATGCGAGGGAATCCGAGGGAAGCCGAGCGAGGGTAGGTCGCCCAGAGTGCATGGCGACCTACAAGGTCGCCAGGAGGGCATGGCGACCTATGTGTTGGGACGTGCATGTGCCATGCAACACGTTCATTCTCTCTGTTTGAGCAAGGTAGGTCGCCCGGAGTGCATGGCGACCTACGCCCAACACTGTGAATTTCACCCTATTTGAGCAATTAATATTGGGAGTGCATTAGCTCGTGAATTAATTTCTTTCAGAACATTATCTCGAAAGTTTTGTCATTATCTGTTATTATTTTCTGCAACTCAAAAACTTATATGATAATAAATAAATAATAAAAAACTTCTAACGACTTCAGCCTTCTCCAACCGGCCACCTCCCCTTTCTTTATATATGGGTAATGTTAAATCTTCACTTTTAACATTGAGTTAGTTGCTTCCAGTTAGCTTTCGCCTTGTTTGCTGAAACAGTTTATATGCTTACATCGGAGTAAAACTTCTTATTCAATGGTTAAGTCAAGCTAAAAGATTGATTAGTTTTCCTGTTGAGAAAGCTTTGAACTTTTAAGCAGAATGATTAGTTTTTGTTCAGATATTTTTAATTTGTTTAGCATGTTAGAAATAGATTTGCTATTTTATGATTTATTATAAATATTATGCAAATTGTTGGATTCCACATTATCGGGAGTCGCCGTTCTCTGTGCTTTTTCTTTTGCCTTCTTCAGCATCAAAATTATCCTCTGCACTATGATTTGTTAAACTAAAATCTTTCCAGGTTTCGAGCTCCCTGAATTCATCCTACTGTTACATCTTGCAAAGTGGAACATCTGTCTTCAGTTGGATTGGGAATCTCACCTCGAGCAAAGACCATGATCTTCTTGATAGAATGATTGAACTGATTAATGCATGCAGTTTTGTTATTCAGAATGGATATAATTTAGATATTGTAATTATTTTTCTATTTTTGCACTAAACCGTCTGTTGGTGGTTAATGAAGCCATTGCTACAGATTTATATTGGGAATTCCTCCTTGTTTGTGGGCCTAACTCATTTAATCATGATTGATTTCTATTTCATTGATGCCATTCACAGCCAGCATGGCAACCTGTATCAGTGAGAGAAGTAAGCGAACCAGATAGCTTTTGGAGTTCACTTGGTGGAAAGACAGAGTATCGAAGAGAAAAGGAGATGAAAAAAATTGTAGAAGATCCACATTTGTTTAAGTTTACCTTTACCGAAGGTAAGCAGATTATCCTCTCCTTTTTGTCGTTCTCTGGAAGGATAATTTGCTTCTTTCTTGGTTCAGAAGTTTTCCGGCTGTAAATTGCTGCAAAACATTTCTGACAGTTGATTATGGTTTTTTTGCCACTTGGTTTGGTTTCCCTTTTCAGGTGATTTCAAGGTACATCTTGGTTGGATCCATTGACTTGCATATATTTCATAGTTAAGCACCTTTGGATGCAATGCAAATGTAGATTTTAACAGAGATGTGTTGATATTTTGGCTAGCAAAAGGAAATGCATATTTTTAACCCATTAGAATGTCTAGAGGATTGTATTTCTGTGAAATATGGTTCCATGGACTTTTTTAAAAGGAAGATCTCTATGCTCAAGTAGACTGACTGTCGGAAATGAAGTATAAAAGGGTTGTTTTGCCTTGGATTAAACTCATCAATCTAGTAATAGAACATATAATGGTTTGAAAGTTTATTTTAGCTGGGTTCACTATGCAAAAATTTTGCCTTGACATTTTTCTAATTTTGTATCATCTCAATTTTTATCTGATTAGTCAGAGTCTAAGTGTTACTTTCTTGTGGAATTGCATTGTTTTCTCCATTAAAAATTGAAAATCAAAAGGGAAAAAAGTTGTTATTATAATCATTTTTTTCTTTATCATAAGGTAAATTTAAAAAAAGAAAGAAACTCTTAAGCCATATTTGATTGTCTTGAGGATTTACTTTGCCTTGGTCTGGTTTCTGGTTAGAGAGATATACAGTTTCACTCAAGATGATTTAACTACTGAAAATGTTTTAGTGCTAGACTGTCATAAAGAAATATATGTTTGGATTGGGCGCCATTCAACTCAATCAAAGCAAGAAGCCCTTAACTTGGGTCTGGTAAATTATAAGTCTATACTCGGACCTTAATTTCTTAAAGGTTTTTTTTTTTAAATTTTGTGTCATGGATTGTTTTTAGCATAAAGTACCGATGTCATGATGTTAAATATTTAGAAATGCTGTAAGTATGGGTATATTTTGTACTCTTCATTTCTTTCTATGCTCTCATATTTGTATTCTTGACTGGCAGAAATTCCTTCAAACAGACATTCTGGAAGAACAACATTCTTTGGAGACTCCTATTTATGTTATTACAGAAGGCCATGAACCACCATTTTTTACTTGTTTTTTTGAATGGGATCCCTCAAAGGTAAATGTAAGTGGGTGGTCTGCTATAGTAAAAGCATCTACTATAAACTCCTTTCAGATGATATTGATGATTTTTCACTGTCATGGCCAAACTATACGTTTATTTAATTTCTTATGATTGTTCTCTAATCAATTTTTTATTCGACCCAGTTACTTCCTTTTATTTTTTCTTTTTCTTCCTATCAGATCATATCCTAGTTTTTCTGTCTGGGAACTTATTGCTCAATTGGAACCCTCATAATTCAGTTATGGAAATTGGCTGCAAGAACATGTTCATCTTGAAGTTTCAATTTACTGCCTTTCAGATGCTTGGCAATTCATTTGAGCGGAAGCTTGCTACCTTAAAGGGGGGAACATCAAGTGGATCTGTAAGTGCCTGTTACTAAGCTCTAATTAGATGTAATCGTATGAGACTTGTGTATTAGGTTCATTATGTTGGTGTACTTTTTGAGTTAGTGTAGTTTCTCCCAATTGTCTTTCTCTGAGTTTCTGTTGGTTTTGCTCACACCAATAACCCATCAAGATTTCTGAGTCTTTTTCCTTATGTTGTATGAAGTAGATGACACAGTCCAGTTTTAGTTAGATTAGAAAGAATAAAAAGATTGTGGAACAGTGATCTGCCAGTACTAGGACTCATGTTCTCCATGTCTGCATAAACAGATCTAAAAAAGTATAACCTTCAACTAAAGGGTACAACAGTTGAAAGCGGGACATGGGAATTAACTAAAGTCTCCTGATTTTCCAACAGTGGCTAAGACCATTATTGACTAGCTCTTTACTGATGTGGTTGTAACAGATACCACTTCATGATTTCTGGGATAGATGCAAATGTTTAACCAAATATCATACTGTTTGAGGTACACTCAATAAGTGTAACCCTCCCAATCTAGAGCCTCCAACTAGTAGTTGGTCCAATACTCAACTCTTTGATAAAATTTATCTTATACAAGCTTCATGCGATTCCATTCAGGCACCATCAAGAAATACACTGAAGCCGCCCTCCAGGGAAGCTACCCCTGATGGATTAAGAAGCAGATCTAGCAGTGCAGATGGATGGGAAATAAGTTTTTCCCCAGCATCAACAATATCAGTTTCACATTTGAAGTTTTCTGATAATCACAATGTTTCCAGTCCAACCCCAGTTTCCAGAAAGCTCTTTACTGAATCCTCTCCTTATCAAGGTGATCAGAAGATTACTGTTTCTTTAAGGATGTGCCTATATTTGATAATGCTATTACATGATTTCCAAATCTCTACAGGATCCAGCAAATTCAATTATTTTAGTACAGGAGTGATTAATGCATCCGACATATACGTTGAAGTCATCGTCTGTTTTCCTATTTTTAAGCACTCAATCAGTTGCATTCTTACTGAAATTACCAATCAAAGCTTGATTATGACCTCCACCCTCTTGAATCAACAACTTGGAAAGTTAATTCAGAGAAAATTAGTTTGAATCATTAGGTACCCACACTAGTCGAGGTGATTACGAGACACACTTGGACGGTTAGATTTGAATCTGATGACTTAATTTGCAAACTAATAAACAATGAAAATTATATCAGGATGCCTAGTTTTATCTATCTTTTTTTATCTAAATACATTTTACTTCTGGTAAACTACATGTGCTATCGTTTAATTTAAAAAAGAAAAAGAAAATTAAATCACCCTTCTGCAGATTCTCCAGCAGTAGATTCAAGCTCCCCTTCAACGAATGAAAACTCAAACCAGATTGATGAAAATTCATTAATAATCCTTATCGAAGATTGACAGTGCCGTCAACTGAACCAGTTTCAGGCATAGATGTGACCAAAAGAGAGGTACGAGCTAAAGTTTAGAGCTTCATAGTCTTGCTCCATCTAGTGTTCAAAATGACCCTTTTAACAGTCCTTCACTTTCAAATAAACAAAACTTGGTATTTTGCTTTGATGCTGCTAGTTTTGAAACTCAATATGCAATGCTTTAAATTTTATGGGGGAATCAAAAGTTTTTGCCTCACAATTGGTGATGCTAAGAACCAAAATTATTGATTTAAATCCGTTTCCCATACCATGATAATCTATTTATCACTAGCTCACTCCCATCGATTTCATCTGCCTATCCTCTGCAATGCATATGAAACTCG